TGAAACCCTGTCTCTACTAAAAATACAAAAATTAGTCAGACGTGGTGGCATGTGCCTGTCATTCCAGCTACTTGGGAGGCTGAGGCAGAAGAATCCCCTGAACCTGGGAGGCAGAGGTTGCAGTGAGCCGAGACTGTGCCACTACACTCCAGCCTGAGTGACAAAGCAGGCTCCATCACAAAAAAAAAAGAATATGCTGTTGCAGGATTCCTACTACAGACATATTATGATAGAATATCACAGTATTAATTACCATGAAAATACCTACGACTACAGTTTACCTCTGAAATAAGAATATAAGGTAAAGAACAAATTCAAAGTAATCGAATAATCAGGCCAGATGCAGTGGCTCATGCCTGTGATTCCAGAACTTTGGGAAACCAAGGCGGGCGGATCACTTGATTCGCCTGGTCAACGTGGTGAAACCCTGTCTCTACTAAAAATGCAAATATTAGCCATGTGTGGTGGGGCACACCTGTAATCCCAGCTGTTTGGAAGACTGAGTAAGGAGAATCAATTGCTTGAACTCAGGAGGAGGGGGTTGCAGTGAGCCAAGATGGCACCACTGCACTCCAGCCTGGACAACAGAGCAAGACTCTGTCTCCAAAAAAAAAAACCCCAAAGTAATCAGTAAAGAAAAAAATTATTTTTTTCTCAAACGGCATTAAATTACTCATAGTCCCCTCTGAAAATATCTATCCAAGACATTCTTGTAATTTTCCTGACAGTAACTGGCTCACGGTTTCACTCTCTACTTCATTCCTTGCTTTCACGACCTAAACACTTGCAATGACTTTTCTAAGACTCTGGCCTCAATTCCAATATCCATCTCATCTTCTCTATTCCAAACTGAACTGATCATTTGTTTGGGATCCTGAACTTCTGAAGTTCCTCTTTCTGATCATAAGTTTTTGCATTCTACTTCTCTCACTTTATTCCTGCTGAAACTGCTCTTAGCCTTCCTGAATACTAACAGCCCCTTAATCATTTCTCTCTCCCTAAATCCACCAATCCCTTGATTCCTTACTCAAACCCAAACCCAAGTAAGTCATTCCAAAAAAGCCTTGCTAGCTAGCAACCTTCACTTCCTCACCTACTTGCCTATTGTGCCAACTCAATTCTGGTTAAACCCCAGCATCTGTTTTCTCTGCTACTATTCTTAAGCTGTCAAAAAGTGGGGAAATGGTCATAAAATGGCATTAACTGTGATCACTATTAAGGGATGCTACACTCCACATAACACATATACTTTTAAAATGTAAGTTTACTCCATGAGGTAAGGCACCCTGTCTGTTTTGCACACTGCTGTATCTCTAGTACTGTAGCTATTACACAGCACGCTGCAAGGCACTCAATCAAATCTGTAAAAATGAAAGTACTGCTATGTATCTCCGGTTGCCTTCTTAGTTCTCTACTGTGAATCTCACAGCCTTACTACTTTCTCCAAGTCTCAAATCCACTTTCCTCCTTCAGAAGAAAATGGCCAAATCTCCTATTGAAAAAACCCAGGTCTTCCAATTTAACTCAATTACCCTTTATTTTTATTCCTCTTATCCATCATCTTCCCCAATGTGCTAAAAGGAAAATTTTATAACTAATTTTATAATTATTGTTTATTTTACTAAAGCCTACCATACAGCAATCACTCTAGTATTAACTCTCATACACACTCACATGTGACCTTTCCCTTGAGTTCCATTTTTCTTGCCTTGTTTTGTTAGTCTTCCAATTTAAAAAAAAACCCACTGAGAAGTATAATTAAGATACCCGTCAACTACCTATTTGTACTTTCTCATAAGTCTCATTTCATATCCTCACAGGAGAACTATAAAATAAAAATCTGTCTGCTTTTGTGGAAAGTAAGAATATATATTAATTTCTACCAAACTTTTTTTTTTTTTTTTTTTTTGAGATGGAGTCTCGCTCTGTCGTCCAGGCTGGAGCGCAGTGGCACAATGTGAGCTCACTGCAACCTCCCCCTCCCAGGTTCACGCCATTTTCCTGCCTCTGCCTCCGGAGTAGCTGGGACTACAGGCGCCTGCCATCACGCCCGGCTAATCTTTTTTGTATTTTTAGTAGAGACGGGGTTTCACCATGTTAGTCAGGATAGTCTCAATCTCCTGACCTCCTCATTCGCCCACCTCAGCCTCCCAAAGTGCTGGGATTATAGGCGTAAGCCATCACGTCCAGCCGATTTCTACAAAATTTTCAAAATGAACTTTCTTAAAATTTTAACAGTAGAATTAAATTTAGGTTATTTCTTTCTGAAGTTTTTTACGAAGAGATATTATTTCTAAAAAGCTTTTAACAAACTTCTAATTATCTTTTAGTCATTTTTCCAAACTGCCCTTTGCAAACAATTATTTAACTTCTCCTAGTAAACTTACATTCTACAGCACTGACTTTATTCCACTGGACAGAGAATACCTTTATGTCACTTGCATGTGACTATGCACTAAAAGTAATGTTTAAAGTAATTTTATACCAGGAAAGGGAGATTGAAGTATAAAAAAGAATAATAAAGTAATTTCAAACAACTAAACTTCGGCCAAGGTATAACAAGTTCAAAAAGTAGAGTTCATGAACAGCCAATTAATAGGAAGGTTGTAGAAGAGAACCCGAGATTGAATGGATTTGGTAAGAGAGGCTATTCAGTTACGGGACAAATTCAAACAGGTTAAAAAATTCTGGGAAAACAAATAAATTTCAAACGGTACTGCATAAACCATTCTAGTACTTAATAATTAGGAATGACATGGCCTTTCCTAACAAAGACATACGGGCAGGCCAAAGCAGCATGCCGAAAAGCAGAGCAAACAGGGCGGTGAACCCAGAATGTTTGTTTACTAAGCAGAGAGGGTCCTCAGTCATGCACTGTTATTTTGATAGCAGTGTCCACCATAAAGTCTTCTTCAACTCTAATACAAAGGATAATACAGATGATAATGTCAAATTACCTGTTTAGAAACTAGTTTTTGCAGCTCAGAAACTGCTCCTTTCCTGCTCCACACTTCAAAGCTGTTTCCTGCTTAGGATTAAAAATATGTATCACTTAAGTAAATTACTTACACTACGAAATATAGAATAACAAATACTACAGTTTTGGTCTAAAATAGGTTTAGAAAGATCAAAAGAAGGGAACAAATATATTTTATCCATATTTTAAAGTTACCTGAATTCTTTTGGAAAATAGTGTGATATGCATTAATGCTTAAATCCTCCGAACTTCTAAAATCCTACCAAACAGCAAAGTAGTATCTACTTCGGAACAGTATAACAAAGATGGTTAGCCCTAATTATCCTTTAATAGTGTATACCAAAGTTTACTCCTTTGATTGATCGAGCTTCCTGTTACTCTAACTATTTAAGAACCTCGTATATCCGATAATTTTAAAATGCTCTTTTAAAAGCTATTGTACTTCACAATAAAATAACTTTTTCACTACATAAATACTAAGTTTACCCTCAATTCAAAAAAACTGCATTATATTGGTGTTCAGTGGCCCTCACCAGGAAGGTGCTAGGGAAAGAAAGGAGCAGGTGCACCCGAGGCTCTGCAACACCCACTCCCGTAACCAGAGAACACCAGCAGGTGGAGTCTGGAAAGCGGTTATGGGGCGGCGGTGGTAGGGGCGCCCAGAAAGCCCGCTTCTTCCAGCGCCCAAACACGAACATTCACCCGTAAGACACACGATACAGACCTCAGCCCGGCCAAAAAAATAAAATAAAATAAACCAGGCGAGTTCCTGGGGAGTGGGCTGAGGGATGCAAAGTTGGCGCGCCCAGCCTCCCTGGCATGGCCTAATCCCCAAACGCCAGTTTCTGCAAACCAAGCAACGTTTCCCCCAGTCCCACTTGGCATTTACTCTTTCCCGGTTCTAGGCCCAATTCTAACTAGATCTGCAGGAAAGGAGAAAAAAGGGGCAATAGTAACTACATTAACATTCCCAGGAACGCCTCCCCCGGCCCCTCGGCTCCCACAGCACCGAGACGGCGGAAATCCTGCAGCTCAAAACCCAACTGCAACTCTTCAGAGTCGCGTCGCTCCTCATCCGCCCTTCTGCACCCCAACTCTGGACACCGAGAGCTCCACAGAATAAAACAGGAGGGAACGCGGGGATCAACTATGGCCACCAAGGCCTGTTTCTCTGAGAACTCGACCCAGTTCCCCTGGCACCCAAACCAGAGCCCCTGCTCCGCTTCCTCCGCCCGCAAGGGGCATTCCCGGGGCCACTGGAACGCGGGGCGGCCTACCCGGCAGGGCCAGCAAGAGGTGCGAGGAGGCAAGAAGGGGGTCCTGCAGTCCCCAACGCGTCCCGAGGTGCTCACCCGGGGATTCCGGCGGTCGGTCCTGAGGGAGGGGGCGGGCTGTCCGCCTCGGGCACAGGAAGCCCAGGGCAGGAAGACCCGGGAGCCTAGCGAGGAGGCGTGGGCCAGTGGCCAGACCCAACAGGGCCAAGTGTCCCGGAGCCGTTACTCTCCCGCCCCTGGGGCGCGCCGCCCTCGGTTGCCAAGGGCTGGGGACGCGCAGGCATTACCTCTACAAGCAGCAGCCTCTCCCGTCAAGGGCGGAGCGGCGGTCAGCCCCCACGACCCGCCACCGGCAGCGGTCAGCCCTTGGAGACCGCAGCAGAGAGGCCCACACGTTTCCTGGCTGTCTTGGCCCCAATGGCCGCCTTTTCGACCTCAGCTACGCAGCGCCAACCGCCGCAGCCACCGCCATCTTAGGATCTCATTGTGGTGGGAGAAGAGGGGCGGGGGGACTGCAGAGGGGGCAACGCGCGGCGGAACATGCGCCGTCTCCTCGGCAACGGCCGCGCGGGGGCGAGAACTCGCCCGGGCGCGAGAACTCGCCCGGGCGGGAGCCGCAGTGCGCTCTACACGCTAGACTGGAGTCATGTGACCCGCCGGAGTCTGTGGTGTCGCTTCTGGCTCTTTAAGTCGAAAACAGATTAAACGAACGAATCCGCCCCCCACGTCCAGGAACTACGTATCCCAGAATGCCACCTAGACCCCGTGTTCTAAACGCCTGCCAACCACAGGTGGAGGACTACAGATCCCAGGATGCTGTGCGCTGCCGGCGCTGATCGCAGAACGTGGGGCCCTAGGCCTATGCGGAAGTGGATTGGTCCCTCAAGCAGTGGAGAAAGAGCCGAGGCGCGGTGCAGTTTTTTCGTGGGGGTGTCAGCTCTGGCCGTGCCGGAAGAAGGAGCTAAGACCGGGATCGCTCTTCTGCTCCTTCCTCACCTACAACCCGGTCACGAAGAGGTGGAAACAGAAGGACACTTACAATGTAGTCCAACCTCTTGATTTTACATATGAGGGGATTGATCCACGGAAGTTAAACAATTTGCCAAACGTCATATGTACTACTGAGTGGGAGAATCATAAATATTGTTGATATTTAATGCTAGTTTTGGTTAATGTCCTTTTTCCTTAAAAGAGCCAGATGATTTTAATCAAAACTTAATTTCAGTAAATTTTCTCTGAATTATCTTTTTATTTATACTCTCCTGTTACAGCTCTATTAACATTAGTAAATTGGCAGATCCTGTCTTTAAAAAACAAACAAAAATCAATAAAGTGACAAGGCCTTCAATGTACCTGACTGGAAAGTTAAAACACGTGTCAGTTTTAGTTGAGCGCAAGGGCATTCTTCTAGTTTTACGCAGTTTAAAATTACGGGATAACTTTTTAAGCAAAATAAAGGTAAAAAGAGAAATTGCTTTCTGGGTCTCAACAACAAAAACAAATTGTTCCCAAAACAGTAGATCTGCATCTCGGTACACAATTCAGATAAAGCCCTTCTAACCCACTGCAATTTGCCACCGTAGGTTCAGTAGTGAGTGCATTGATCGTTTGCACTGATACTCGTTTGTCAGACACTGTTTCCTCATATTCTGTGCGTGTATCGTTAAGTACGGAGGTAGCAAAAATATAGTCCCTGCCGTTGAAGAGCTCATTTTAGTGAAGGACGGAAAAGTGGAGTGTGATGTAAATAAATTTCGTGTTGTAAAAAAAAGTGCTATGGCAGCTCAGAACACAGAGCAGCTAAACGCTCAGGTGTTTATTGTAGTCCAGAATGCCCCATCCTAATTCCACCACTCCAGGATCCTGGACAAGCGACATGCCTTTCTGAGCCTTAATTGCCCCGTCTATGAAATGAGGGAGAAGGAATAATACTGTCTACCCTGAAGGGATTTTTTAAAGAATGTTCTTAGAGTTTATTTTATGCCAGGCACAATGTAAAGCCCTTCGGTTGTTGTGATTTTCGTAATCCTGACAGCTACCCTGAAGAGGCTGGTTCTGCATCTGACCCGTTTTAGCAATGAAAGGTTATATAAATCACACTTTTAGCAGCTACAAGTGGTAGAGCCTAGATTTAAAAGGAAGTCTGCCTGATTCCTTAAAGATTTTTTTAATTAAATAAAATGCATATGAAAACACTAGTGTATGTTGAGGCCCAAAATATTAGCTATCATCGTTATTTTGTTTTATACATATGTATTATTATTAAACGTATGTAGAAACTGTTATCATTAAAACAATTCTAATAAATTCAAAAGCGTGAAATTATAATACCTACTAGTCATTATGTTTTCTGAATTTATGAAGCCCCAGAATGTCAATACTATTGTTTGTTAGGAGGTAGGAGGAATCTGAGAAATATTTACGTTGAAATGTAGAAGCTGTTACCATTAAAATAATTCTAATAAATTCGAAAGCATGAAACTATAATATCTACTACTCATTATGTTTTCTGAATGTATGAAGCCCCAGAATGTCAGTACTATTGTTTGTTAGGAGGTAGGAGAAATTTGAGAAATATTTACATTAAAAAAGGTTCTCAAACTCAAATATGAGCATTCCTGATCTTTGTAGTTCTCCTACAAAGGAAAAAAAAAAACCAGAAAGTGACAAAATTATCCCTGGCTTTCAGAAATTTAACATCTATTTTTAGAAACAAACTTTACAAAATGAGTCAATTTAGTATTAATAGAGTGTCACTATGCCAAACATATGATGTAGACACTGACTGCTTTAGTGATTTAGATTTTTAAAATAGGGATGTTCTGTCTCAGAGATAATGATAGCTCTAGGATTTATAGGTAAGATGAAATTAGGGGCAGCAGTCTGTGGAAATGTAGATAGGAAACAGAAGAATGGCCTCTGAGAGATAAACACTGAAACTGCATTTCAGTTTTCCACATTCAAGAGAACAACCTAACACATGTATTAAATATGCAGGGGGTGGAAGTTCCAAATCTCAGAATGATGTTCAAGGAAGTGGGATATACCAAGAACACAGACCACACATCCAGTATAAGCGATGGACAACAAGCAGACTGGCTGACGTAGAGGATTTACATATGGTAAGTGATGGGGAGGTGGGAGAAGGCAAGGTTTATTAGCAGGTTGGGGCCAAACTATAGAAAGTCAACTACTTATCTAAAGAGTTTGGGCTTTGTTCTTCAAGTAGTGTGAAACCATTTGAGACTTTGGAAGAGGGCAATGCTGTAATGAAATAGTTATTTGAAGACTTCAATCTAGTGGCAATGTTTTGGAAAGACTAGGAAGAGAAGACAAGGAGAACAGGTGCCAACCTGTCATGAAGTAATGAAGGCTTGGCCTGAGGTAGTAGCAGGATGAATAAAGTAAGGGATTTAAATTTTTATTAACGTAAACTAAATCAGTTATTAAGATGTGAAAATACTATTTCTGTTTCTTGATATGTGGTAGGTGGTACTAACCAGGTGGTACTTACAAGATAACACAGCCGGGCACGGTGGCTCACGCCTGTAATCTCAGCACTTTGGGAGGCTGAGGCGGGCAGATCTTGAGGTCAGGAGTTCGAGACCAGCCTGATCAACATAGTGAAACCCCGTGTCTACTAAAAATACAAAAATTAGCCAGGCGTGGTGGCATGTGACTGTAATCCCAGCTACTCAGGAGGCTGAGGCAGGAGAATTGCTTGAACCTGGGAGGCAAAGGTAGCGGTGAACACAGGTCATGCCATTGCACTCTGGCCTGAGCGAGACTCTGTCTCAAAAAAAAAAACCAAAAACTTGGCCCTATATTGTTTATCTCTTTAATCTTTAGGCTCCTTATCCACAGATGGATTGTAAGCATGTCTGTAACAGAAACCAAGCCTTTTGTACTTTCTATCCTTTGAAAAGCAAGTTTTCTGCAATACCTAATTTTAACCTGCAGATGGTGATAGAACTTAAAGGGAAAATCTTCAGGGCCACTACACTGCTTTATAACTGGATCTTATTTGTTTTTATTATGTGATTTTTTGATACAGCCAAAAGAATATATAACATACGTGTAAACTCTATAGTACAATATTGACAACCGGGTGCATTATACGCCTGTAATCCTAGCTACTTGGGAAGCTGAAGCTGGAAGATCACTTGAGGCCAGTAGCTCCAGAGCAGCCTGAGGAACTTAAGGAGACTGTTTCTACATACATACACAAATACATACATACACAAATACATACATACATACATAAAGTATAATAATGAGAGAAACACTCAAGAACCCACAAACTAACCTTGAATAGAATTTAATCAAAATGTGTCCGGGCAAGGTGGCTCATGCGTGTAATCCCAGCACTTTGGAAGCCCGAGACAGTTGGATCATTTGAGGTCAGGAGTTTGAGACAAGGCAACATGGTGAAACCCCGCCTCTACTACAACTACAAAAATTAGCCTGACATGGTGGTGCAAACCTGTAATCCCAGTGAGGCTGAGGCAGGGCAATATCACTTGAGCCTGGGAGGCAGAGGTTGCAGTGAACGGAGATTGTGCCACTACACTCCAGTCTGGTGACAGAGCAAGACTTCATGTCAAAAAAAAAAAAAAAAAAAAGAACTTAATTAAGATGTTTAAGGACTACTCCCTGCCGCATTTTCTTCAAACTGTTTCTTCTTCTTTGCAGACATAAATACTATCCGGAATTCAATGTGATTCCTTCATTTTATTCATATGACTATGGATATCCCTAAATAATACGTTTGATTTTGCTTGTTTTCAAGCTTTATATAGATGATATCATACTGAATATATTTTTGCTTGACTTGCTTTTTTCATTCAACGTTGTGTTTCTGCAATTCATCCATTTTAATGGGTATAAACCCCAAATTTATTAAAAGCAGAATGTAAAATTAATTTTTGAATATTCCTTAAAAATATGACTTGGCTTTCTGGGTAACTTAATGGAAGAAGAGATTGGTCATGCCAAACAAAGGACTCATTAGAGGCCTCTGACCCAGTTCTTACACCTTTTGGTTAAATTTTAGCACTGTTAATTTCTCTACCTTTTAATCTAGCGCAGAGTTTCTTAACCTTGGTACTATTGACAGTTTGGGCTGGGTGATTCTTGTTATGGGGTCGGTCCTGTGCATTCCAGGAGGTTTAGCAACATCCCTGGCCTCTATACACTGTTTACCTAGAGCAAACCCCTGCCCATTGTAAAAACCAAAAATGTCTCCTGGCATTGATTGCCAAGCATCCTCTGGAGTTTGGGGAGGGAAATTTTTTTCCATAACTCTTTTGCTCAGAAACTTAAAGGTTGATGTATATAATCTAATCAACTAGCCGTTATATAATTATATCAACTAATTCTATCAAATCCACATGCATAAGTAATGTTTCAAGGCTCTTTTTGCCTTGCTCTGTTTCCCCTATATCTAATTACCAGAACATCTCTCATTACTGCCTAGTTTGGATTCTTTATTATTAGATTTAAAAATATCTAATTACTGCTGTCGACATACAATATTAACGTTTATAACAGTCTAAACTGCCCCTTCCTTCACAACCAGTTTATGTTCTTTTCTTTCAAAAGTCACTCATTTAATAAATATTACCCTTGTGATTCTGACAGTTTCATCTGTAGTTATATTTCATCAGTTTTCACATGGCTTTACTTCTACAGAGTTGTGATTACTACCTGATTCTTTCTGTATTTTTCTTGTATGTAGGTTTTTATACCGTCTTCTCTATTCACTGAAAATGTGGTCAAAGCTGCAATCATGTAGTAAAATCTTGAGTAAACTGCTTCCTTCCCAAGACACACCAAGTTGGAGAGGTTTAAACAAAGAGATATGAGTAACAATTCTTAAAAACTACGAGGAAAATAATCTATATCTTTTTCCTTGTTTCCAACCAACTGTATACCAAAACAGTTAAACCAGAACTAGATAACTAGATATATGTTGGTAATTAAGTAGAAAAATTGGATAATTAGGTGAGGGAGTTCCAAAAATATGGAAATATGGGCTGATATGGATTTTGTTTCCCAATTCATAGGAAAAATGTTAGAAAGGCATGAAAATTAACCCTCAGCTTTTACTTTAAAAACGCTGTTAGTCAAAACAAAATGATATGAAATAAGGACTCATAATTGTCGTGGTTTGTCGTGGTTATAGGGGATAATCTGGAGTGACTTTATAAAAGATGGTTTCTGGGTCAAATAAGTTTTTATTCACAGAAATAAGGACAGCTGCAGGTGACAACTAGATTGGCAATATGCATCCATATGGACTAGCAGAGGAGTATGCGGCATGATTGGGGTTGCAATGATCCACATTAAATTCATGGCATTATGTAGGAAAGCTACAGCTGTATATATTATAATTTTTTTTTTTTTTTTGAGATGTAGTCTCACTCTGTTGCCCAAGCTGGGGTGCAGTGGCACAATCTCAGCTCACTACAACCTCTGCCTTCTGGGTTCAAGTGATTCTCCTGCCTCAGCCTCCCAAGTAGCTGAGATTACAGGCACGTGCCACAACACCCGGCTAATTTTTTGTATTTTTAGCAGAAACAGAGTCTCACCGTGTTAGCCAGGATGGTCTCGATCTCCTGACCTCGTGATCCACCCACCTCGGCCTTATACATTTTATTTTACTCTAAAAAGGCTTCCATATTGCATTTCTCCTTCCATGAGAAAGGTCCCAAAGTCAGGGAAGAACTAGCAAAACATGTGTGAATTCAGATTAACCAGGTAAGAGAGAATGCCCTCTCTTTACCAGAAGAACTAAATAATCTCAAGGGCTAAAAACCAAGGATGTTGGATGGCAGGCCGGTCTATCCAAGACTCTCCCCAGTCTAGATAAGGAAACAAGTAAAACCCTGACAGTGGGTGAAACACACTGGTATTGAGGAGAGGTTTGTGGGTTAAAAAAGGGCCTGGATGTGGGACCAGGTGGTCAAGGACCGGCCTACAGTGTGCCTGTTTAAGGAATAACAATATATGCTTTAGAACAGTGCTTTATTAATATAGTCATGAACCATAAGAATAGCTTGTGCTTAGTCCAACAATATAAGAATCAGGCGGTGAGCTTCCTTGACTGACCACAGAGTGGAACAAACAACCGCGGGAAGTGTGTGGAGCCTCTAAGCAAGAAAGCTTGCTCATTGCTCAGCCTCCCGCTTGAGTCCCTGAACAAAGGTCTCTTGGGAAGGGAAGCGACCCCTGATCGGTTCCCCAGAAGGGAACTGCAGGAGGCTGCTTGTAAAAGAGGAGAAGTCCTCAGCGGTAGAGATAAGGAGGAAGTCTTATGTATCTCCCGCTCCTTCCCAGAGGCGGAGAGCTCTGCTGCTCTGCTGATGGTGCTTGGGAGTGGACCGCCCCTTTAATGCACAGGCCTGTGGTCTGACGGGCTGTCTGCTTTCACGTCCTGTTCTGTTCTCTTCTGTTAACTGCTTAGTTGGACTCTGATGATTATCTGCAAGTTAAACATAGAGCATTAGCTTACATAGTGGAATAGTAAATAATATTAACTTGCTGATGACGCATGCTACCCCCCTGCCACCTCTCCCCATGGTCACCTTATGATCAGCCCACCATCTGCCCACCCTCAGCCGATAGGATCAGAGGAATTGTACTCAATACACATCAGTGGAATCCGGAGCTCAGGCCCTTTGCAGTTTCCGCGTTGCGATGGACCCCTAGACCCACTTTTGTTAATCCTTGAACTTTGTGTCTTTATCTTTATTTCTTCTCATTCCCTCATCTCCACCAGGAAGGGGAGAGCCCGCGTGTGGTGTAGCGGGCTGGTTCCCCTACATCTTTGGTGCCCAACGTGGGCTTCTTGTACCCAGGTGAAGTTACGCCTGAGCGTAGTCATTGTGGAGACCAGTCTGTGGAGGGACTCCCGGGAACGTGTGGTCGGCCTTGCGGTAAGCCTGTGCACTAGGAGTATTCCAGGGACACCGTGTGACAATCGGAAAGTAAGCACTCTGCTTACTTACACTTTATCAAACTCCTCTTAAAGACGGGGAAAATAAACGCTAGCACAGAAAACTTGATTACTCTGTTTCATACAGTAGAGCAGTATCTTGGTTTCCTGAACAAGGTCCCGTGGATTTAAAAGATTGGGGACAGGTTGGAATTGCCTTAAAACAAGTTCATAAGGAAGGAAAACGTATTCCTCTAACGGTCTGGTCAGACTGTGCTATCGTTAAAGCAGCCTTGGAACCGTTTCAAACGGAAAATGAGGTTTATCCTCCAGCAGAAAGAATTCCAGCGGAGGAAGGCGGTGCTGCTGCCAATATAAATATAAAGGAAGACGAAGGAGGAGAGGATAGTGAAGAAGATTTTGTGGGAAGTACAGACAAACCTGGAGATGACTTAATTTCTTTTGAGGAGCATGTGGGACCTCCAGCTGCTCCTAAAATAGAGAAGCTATTTATGCCAATATGTTTAAAACAAAGAAGGGCCTTGAGGAGTCTTCGGCTCCTCATTGAGATCGTCTGGAATGGCCGCCTCCAATAAGGCAATGTAACCCGGAACCTTGGAGGTTTGAATCTCAAATTTACCCTGTTTCATGAATGGATAAATTAGGGGCTCAGGAATCAAGAATACATTTTGCAGCACCAGAACAGCAAAAGGCTGCACTGCCACCTAATGTCAATGAATCACCATTACAAATGGTTATTCGGCCGGCTAGGGCAGCTGGAGATTCCAATGCCTGGCAGTTTCCAGTAGTTTTGCAACCCCCACAGCAGCAGGGTGGTGCCCATCAGGTGGTATGGGAACCATATTCTTTCAAACTGCTTACAGATCTCAAAGCAGCTGTTGGTCAGTATGGTCCCAATTCGCCTTTTGTCTGGTCACTTTTACACTCAGTGACTTAGGAGAAGCAAATGGCCCCAGACGATTGGGAGATTGTAGCAAAAGCCACTCTTTCGCCCTCCCAATGTCTTCAATTTAGAACTTGGTGAACCGATGAGGCTCAAAATCAAGATCGAAAAAACCGTGCTGCTAATCCTGTTGTTGCCATTTCACTTGAACAACTATTGGGAGTTGGGGGCCAATAGGAAACTGTACAACAGCAACTACTGCTTCAGGATGATGCCAGTGAACAAATTCACAGTTGTTGCTTGAGGGCATGCAAAAAAATTCAGGACCCGGGAACTATTTAAATCCTCTTTTAATTCTATCAGACAAGGCTCCAAAGAACCATATCCTGATTTTATTGCTCGTCTTCAAGATGCAACTCAGAAGGCTCTTACAGATGAAAGTGCCAGGAAGGTGATTGTAGAATTACTGGCTTATGAAAATCCCAACCCTGAATGGCAATCAGCTATTTGCCTTGTGAAAGGAAAGTTTCCGGTGGGAACTGATATAACCAATGAGTATATCAGGGCATGTGATGGAATTAGTGGAATTGTGCATAAGGCTATGATAATGGCTCAAGCCATGGCAGGATTAAAGGTGGGAGGCCCAGTGAAAAACTTTTCAGGCAATTGTTATAACTGTGGTCAGTTTGGACATACAAAAAAGGAATGTAAGAACAAATCAAACAATCTAGATCTAATCAAACAAAGGAGCCACCTGGCTTATGTCCCAGGTGCCAGAAGGGTAAACATTGGGCTAAACAGTGTCACTCCAAATTTGATAAAAATGCAGCCCCAATCGGGAAATGGGAAGAGGGGCCAGCCTCAGGCCCCACTCCAAACGGGGGCATTCCCTCTCCAGCAGTTTGTCCCTCAGTCGGCACCAGTGCCTTTAATCCCTCCAGTGACACAAATACCTTTAGCCCAACCACCACAGTAACACAATTGGTGTCAGCTACAACAGGGAACGCCGGTTTAGATTTATGTTGCACCAGAGCTGTGTCTCTACTTCCAGGGGAACCACCTCAAAAGGTGCCCACTGGAGTATTTGGACCTTTACCTGAGGTAACAGATGGACTTGTTTTAGGGAGATCTAGTCTAAATTTAAAAGGAATTCAAATTCATACTATAGTGATCGATTCAGATTTCATGGGAGAAATTCAGTTGGTTATTAGTTCTAGTATGCCTTGGAGTGCAAACCCGGGAAATAGAATTGCTCACGTGTTGTTATTACCTTATTATCTAATTGCTGTTATTACCTAAGTAGGAGAAAGTACAGTAAAAAGAGAAAGTGGTTTCGGCAGCACTGATAGCAAAGGAAAAGCAACTTATTGGGTAAATCAGGTTTCTGAAAATAGACCTTTGTGCACAATGACGATTCAGGGAAAACATTTTGAAGGACTTGTCGATACAGGCGCTGATATTTCTATTATAGCCATGGATCAGTGGCCAAAAACATGGCCCAAACAGAGAGCTTCTATGGCTTTAATTGGAATAGGCACGGCATCTGAGGTTTATCAGAGTGTTACAATTTTACACTGTTTAGGACCAGATGGACAGGAAGGCACCATTCAACCTATGATTAATGCCATTCCCATTAATTTGTGGGGAAAAGATTGTTACAACAGTGGGGTACAGAAGTCACCATTCCCTCTACGATTTACAGTTCAGAGAGTCAAAGCGTGATGACTAAGATGGGGTATACTCCTGGAAAAAGGCTAGGAAAGAGTGAGGATGGAATAACTCAGCCAATTGAAGCCTCAGTTAAATTTGACAGAAAAGGAATTGGGTACCCTTTTTAGGTGTGGTCACTGTTGAGCCTCCAAAGCCCATCCCATTGAAATGGAAAACTCAAAATCCTGGGTTGGTTGATCAGTAAAAACTGCTTCCTCAGCAAAAACTGGAGGCATTACATTCACTAGCAAAAGAGCAGTTAGACAAAGGACATATTGAACCTTCTTTCTCACCATGGAATTCCCCAGTTTTTGTAATTCAGAAAAAATCCAATAGATGGTGCATGTTGACCAACCTACGAGCGGTTAATGCAGTCATTCAACTGATGGCGGCTCTCCAACCAGGGTTGCCATCCCTGGCCATGATTCCAAGAGAATGGCCAATGGTAATAATTGATTTGAAAGATGGTTTTTCACTATTCCTTTGGATCTGCAGGACTTTGAAAACTTTGCATTTACGATACCTGCTATAAATAATAAGGAGCCAGCTACTGGGTATCAGTGGAAAGTTTTACCCCAAGGAATGTTAAAGAGTCCTACGATTTGTCAAACTTTCGTTGGGAAGATCATTCAGCTTGTCCGGGGTCAGTTTCCTCGTTGTTATATTATTCATTATGTTGATGACATTTTATGTGCTGCTACAAACAGGGACAGACTAATCAAATGTTTTTCTATGTTACAAGAAATGGTGGGGCTTACAGGTCTTGCTATAGTACCACATAAAATCCAAACTACCACACCCTATCATACCTAGGAATGAAGGTGGAGGAGAGAACATTTACACCTCAAAAGGTAGAAATTTGTAAGGAGTCCTTAAAAACTTCAAATGATTTTCAAAAATTATGAGAAGACATTAACTGGATAAGGCCAACCTTAGGAATCCCCACTTATGCAATGACTAACTTGTTTGCTTTGCTGAGAGGGGATCGAAATTTACATAGCAAAAGAACTCTGACGCCTGCGACAACTGAAGAGTTAAGAATAATTGAGGAAACAGTTCAAAGTGCTCAAGTCAGTAGAATAGATCCCAGTGTTCCATTACAGCTCTTGGTGTTCCTACTCTCTATTCTCCTACAGGAGTGATTATTCAAGATGTCAACTTGGTTGAATGGTCTTTTTTACCCCACAGTATGACTAGGACTTTTTCAATTTACTTAGATCAAATAGCTATTCTTATAGGCCAAGCCTGATTAAGAATAGACTCACTGGCACTGATCCAGATAAAATTGTAGTTCCTTTAAACAAAGCACAGGTTCGACGAGCCTTTATAAATTAATCAGAATGGCAGTCATTTAGCTGATTTTGCTGGCCACATAGATAATCATTACCCTAAAACAAAAATTTTTCAGGTCCTAAAATTGACTGCCTGGATTTTACCTAAAATAACCAGCTCTATCTCCTTGGAGTGAGCTGTAACTGTCTTTACTGATGGCTCTCAGAATGGAAAAGCAGCTTATACAGGACCAGAAGAAGAGGTTATTCAAACCCACTTTCATTTTGCACAAAGAGCTGAGCTACCAGCAGTTATATCTGTATTGGAAGATTTTGATCAACCTGTTAATATTGTCTCTGACTGTGCCTATGTAGTTCAGGTGACAAAAATGGTAAAAACAGCTTTAATAAAATATATTTCTGATGATCAGCTAAATGTTTTGTTTAGTTCACTTCAACAAGCAGTTAGAGTTCGAAATTTTCCTTTTTATATTACACATATTCGAGCTCGCACAAATTTACCAGGACCTTTAACCCAATTAAATAATCAAGCAGATTTATTAGTGACACCTGTTTTAGCAGAGGCTCAAGAATTCCATTCCTTAACTCAGGTAAATGCTGCTGGATTAAAAAATAAACATTCATTGACCTGGAAACAAGCTAAAAACATAGTGCAACATTGTCCACAATGCCAGGCGCTACAGCTACCTACTCAAGAACCTGGAGTCAATCCTTGGGGACTTAAACCAAATGCTCTTTGGCAAATGGATGTGACTCATGTCCCATCATTCCGAAAACTTTCTCTTGTGCATGTTACTGTTGATACTTTCTCTCCGTTTATCTGGGCTACATGCTGAACCGGAGAAAGTACAGCTCATGTAAAATGACATTTATGATCTTGTTTTGCAGTCATGAGTGTGCCACAGAAAATGAAAACGGATAGTGGACAAGGATATTGCAGTAAAACTTTTGAAAGTTTTGTTCAGCAATGGAAAATTGTACACACTACAGGAATACCTTATAACTCCCAAGGTCAGGCCATAGTAGAAAGGGCTAATCGGACTCTTAAGACACAGTTAGAAAAACAAAAGGAAGGGGGAAGTAGTAAGGAGTATACCACACCCCATAGGCAGTTACAATTAGCCCTTTTGACTCTGAATTTTTTGAACATTTCCAGAGATCAGGTCTCCACAGCAGCTGAACAACACTTTTCTGGACAGAAAGTTAATTTACATGAAGGAAAAACGATCTAGTGGAAGGATACCAGAACTAAAAGTTGGGAATTAGGATAAATTATCACCTGGGGATTTAGGATAAATTATCACCTGAGGGAGGGGTTTTACTTGTGTTTCACCAGGAGACAATCAAACACCCACTTAGATACCCAATAGACGTTTGAAATTCAACAATGAACCCTACACCGACCGGACAGAAGAAAGGGAAGAATCGAAAGAGGAGGAAGACTGGTCCCTCCGACCTGTCCTTTCCGGAGCTGAGAAAGATGGCAAAGCTGAGGGTCTCAGAGAAACAACAGAAGACGGAGAAGACTCGCCAGGCTACACCACCGACATGAGGACAGATAAAGAAGCTGACTCAAATGGCAGAGGACAGCCTAAAGGAGAAACAACTGGCAATTACCCCGGGTAATATGATCTTGGCTGCCTTGATGGTAATTACCACGGCGGTAAGTCTCCCCGCTGTCTGGGCTGAACAAAATTTTACATACTGGCTTATGTTCCATTTCTCCTTTAATTAGGCCAGTTACTTGGATGCATTCCCCTACTGAAGTTTATGCAAATGATAGTATTTGGATGCCTGGGCTGGCTGATGATCGCTGTCCTGCACAGCCTGAGGAGGAGGGCGTGTTGATGAATGTAACAGTGAGGTATGAATACGCTCCAATTTGTTTAGGAATTGCTCCTGGATGTTTACCATCGCAAATACAAAGGTGGATGATTTATGTACCTCCTCATAATCGTTCCCAACCTAGTTATCACGTAGTGAGTGGAATGTCTTTCCGACCTATCATGACTGTAAAAACTTATGGGGGTGGTTATTTTCGGTCAAATTTAAAAGTCAAAAATTACAAACCTAACGGACTGGCTGGTCCTAAAAGAAATCCAAAATGGTCAGAAAAACTAGAGATTCTTACTTGGGAGGGTTGTGTAGCAGATGGTGCAGTAGCTTTGCAAAATGATTCTTATGGAACAATTATAGATTGGGCCCCCAAAGGATCCTTGGCTAGAAATTGCACCGGACAAAATGCTGGGTGTGCTGAGGATTCCTTCGTTATAGATCATAGAGAAAGTCCCAATAATCCCCCCACTTTAGTTAGAAGATTGCAATGAGTAGATCCATTGAAATGGGAAGATAAAGGTAATGCTCCTCCCCGGGCAAAGATAATTAGTCCAGTCATGGGTCCAGAATATCCAGATTTGTGGAAGTTGCTTATGGCGAATGAGAGTATGGAAAGGGGAAGCATTATGTGGAACAAGAGGTAATAAGCTACTGTTTACCATGCTTCTTCAGTCTAATCAGTCTATTCCTCTTCAAAGTTGTGTTAAACCTCCTTACACGTTAGTTGTTGGAAAACTCATATTTTGCTGGACTCTCAAAACATTACTTGTGACAACTGCCATCTGTTTACTTGTATTGATTCTTCTTTTGATATGAGGAATAGCATTTTGCTGGTCCGAGCTCGAGGGGGCGTTTGGATTCCAGTTACTCTTAACAGGCCTTGGGAGGCTTCTCCCTCTATTCATGTAATAACTGGAGTTTTAAAAGGGATTCTTCATCGTACAATAAGATTTATTTTTACTTTAATTACTTAGTTGGACTCTGATGATTATCTGTAAGTTAAACATAGAGTATTAGCTTACATAGTGGAATAGTAAATAATATTAACTTGCTGATGACGCACACTACCCCCCTGCCACCTCTCCCCATGGTCATCCTATGATCAGCCCACCATCTGCCCCCTCAGCCGATAGGATCAGAGGAATTGTACTCAGTAAACATCAGTGGAATCCGGAGCTCAGGACCTTCGCAGTTTCTGCGTTGCAATGGACCCCTAGACCCACTTTTATTAACTCTTGAACTTTGTGTCTTTGTCTTTATTTCTTTTCTCATTCCCTCGTCTCCACCAGGAAGGGGAGAACCCATGTGTGGTGTAGCGGGCTGGTTCCCCTACAAGGTCGACCAAACGTTTCCTGTAAAAGACCAGATATTAAATATTTTCAGCATCGTATGCTATACAGTCTGTTGCAACTTCTCAACTCTGCGGTTATAGAACGGAAGCAGCTACGGACAGTATATAAACAAATGAGCATGCCTATATTCCAATTAAACTATTTGTAGACACTGAAATTTAGATTTTATGTAATTTTCACAGGTCACAAGATATTGATCTTTTTGTGATTTTTTTCAACTACTTAAAAATATGAAAAGGGACCGTGGGTCCAGTTTAGACAGCGAGCGGTACAATAGTTTGCTGACCTCTGATGTAGAGCACTAAACACTTAAGTTCTTAGATAATCAATGTTAGGTAAGAGGAGAAATTAGCAATGGAAGAAAATGCAGTTTCTTTACTTTACAGGATAGTTATTTTATGAGTACTATTTTGAACTAATAGAAAGGGAGGGTATAAAGCCAGCAAGTGAAACTGAATGATATTTGTAGGTGTTAGTTTGTAGCCATAGTATTTTGCTTTCTTTCTTCCTTCCTTCCTTCCTTCCTTCCTTCTGCTCCTTCCTTCCTTTCTTTCTTCCTTCCTTCCTTCCCTTCCTTCCCCTCCTTCCTTCCTCTTCTTCTCTTTTTTCTTCTCTTCTTTTCTTCTTTTCTTTCTTTCTTTCCTTCTTACCTTTCCTTCCTTCTTCCTTTCGTTCTTCCTTCCCTTCTTTCTTTCTTTCTTTCCTTTCTTTCTTTCTTTTCGTTGACAGACTCTCACTCTGCCACCAGGCTGGGTTACGAATGGCACAATCACAGCTCACTGCAACCTCTGTCTCCCAGGTTCAAGCAATTCTCCTCCCTCAGCCTCCCGAGTAGCTGGGACTACAGGCGTGCACCACCATGCCCAGCTAATTTTTGTATTTTTAGAAGAGACAGGATTTCACAGTGTTGGCCAGGATGATCTCGATATCTTGATCATGTGATCCATCCACCTCGGCCTCCCAAAGTCTTGGGATTACAGGCGCGAGCCGCCGTGCCCAGCCACTGTACCATATATTTTCTTATATCCTGGATTTTGTTTTTCCCCATTCACACTAGAGGTAGGCATGCATTTCCTCCGAGGATTGCCACAGCCAGCAATACTAGAAACAACAGATGAAAAAGATTAAAATCAGAGCAGCTCCCACTCCTCACAATTTGCCTGGGTGGAAAGAGGATGAATTGGTGGGAAATCAAAAGAATGTGATGTTTTCCCTCACATTGCTGAAAAGGAAGAGGGGGAAGGTGCAGCAGCAATCTGTGTAGTCCCTGAGGCTGAGTGTCCCAGTGACTAGAGCAAGAATAGACAGTTGTAGTGACATTATACCAACTTCACACCACCCCAAACCCCAGAAATCATATGTAACCCCCAGACTGGAGAGAGAGACTAAATTGTTTGATATCATGCTGAAATGAGTGGAGAATTAGATTTCCCTGAGCCCATGGAATGGAGCCTTGAAATTCAATTAGAAAACAGAGTGACAGTTATTTCACATGCAAATTGTCAGAAGACACATACCCACTTTACTTACACAGTACAAGTGTCAGTTACCTGAATGCTCTAAAGCCTCGAAGTTGGTGGGGAAGCCATGTTTCCGTCACATCTACAGTGGGAAACCTAACCTCCCTTGCTGACACCTTCCAGGATCTCTGGAGTTAATGTTTTTCTATTAGTTCCTGCTTGTACTGACTTACTGTGATTTCTCTCAAGACTAGCCTCTTTTGGCTGCTCTTTTTCTCCACTCTACATCACTCCCAAAGCAACAGCAACTTTCCCTTTTCTCAAAATGCTGCGGATACAAGGCATCTCTGCATAGTAGATTCTCACTGAAGATTCAGTGTTAACCATGGAAGGCAGGGGAAGAGGAAGAGGAATTTAGCCTGCAGCAGACACCTTAAAACTGACTATTTACTATTGTGAATAGTGCCACAATAAACATACATGTGCATGTGTGTTTATAGCAGCATGATTTATAATCCTTTATGTATAAACCCAGTAATGAGATGGCTGGGTCAAATGGTATTTCTAGTTCTAGATCCTTGATGTGGCACCTATACACCATGGGATACTACGCAGCCATAAAAAAGAATGAGTTCATATCCTTTGTAGGGACATGGATGCAGCTGTAAACCATCATTCTCAGCAAACTATCGCTAGAACAGAAAACCAAACACCACATATTCTCACTCATAGGTGGGAATTGAACAATGAGATCACTTGGACACAGGAAGGGAAACATCACACACCGGGTCCTATTGTGGGGAGGGAGTGGGGGGATGGAGAGCATTAGGAGATATACCTAATGTAAATGACGAGTTAATGGGTGCAGCACACCAACATGGCACATGTATGCATATGTAACAAACCTGCATGTTGTGCACATGTACCCTAGAACTTAAAGTATAATAACAACAACAACAACAACAAAACTGAGTATTTAAAGATCCTTGCTCTTTAAAGATCCTTGGCCATAGCCCAGAACTTCTCCCTGGCTGCCTATTGCTCAGCTTCCTGGCATCTTGGTGCATTCCTTCCCCACATCCTCCTCCCCATTCTTATCTCATTCACTCTTCCTTTTTCACCCCTTTCTTCTTGGGTTACCTATGGAAACTCCAAATTCTTCATTAACTCTTCATTAACAGAATAATTTTGCCCTCCTGGTTTCACTGCTGGCCTGTTTCAGCCAGGCCTATTATTAAACGCTGTTCTTCCTCTGTGACTACACTAATGAGTATGACCTATTTCCTCACCATGGAGTTCTAAGAAATTATTTCTTCTTTGAATGCTAAAATTAATTGCACAAGGTCCTTAACAATCCTGATTAGCAGATATTATGAGAAGAGACACCTCCATTTTCCTGACATCCCCTTCCGTTATATTCAAGAGAAGAACAGGGCATGGCTAACTCAGTTCTTAGGGGCCAGTTTTCAGTCCAAACCCATAGTGCAGGGAGGAATTAGAGACCACATCCAGTTCTCTAGGAGGGTCCCATTTGTTGTTTGTTACATTCCCAACATTTTGTCATTTTTAAAAGCTTTCTCATGTCGTCTGGGGCCATCCATCGCTATCTTTGGCAGCAATAATTCCACTTCTGATCTGGTGAAAGCTTCTCATGGATTGTGTGCATGTCTGTGTATGTGCTGGATGAGAGAACTGTAGAGGATTGGGAAGATGCGGAGGTAAAGATTCTGGTGATGTTACGCTCCAAGTTCAGGTTGCCCTCTGTGGCTTGGGCTTCCACTCTGCTTCTTTCTTCCACTCTTCACCTCTGGTTCATCTAGATCCCTGCACAGGCTGGAATTATATTCTAAGGGTGAGAACCCCACAGCCTCTGTGTAAAGCTAACAAAGCCCATAGAAAATGGATAAGACCCTGCTTCTAGAACTGTCTACTTCAAGCCAAATCGTGGCATATATGATGTTAAGTAAGTTGCTTGCTCTCTTTATGTCTCAGTCACCTCATTGGGAAAATGGGAATTAAAAATAATAATATATGTCTCAGAGGGCTACTCTGGAGATTACGTGAGTTAGTACGTAGGAAGTGTTCAGAGAGTACCTGGTTCGTGGTAAGTGATTTCTAAATGTTGACACTTATTTAAGTTTACAGAGAAGGCTCTGTGCCAATACTGACTTGGGACTACAAGGTTTCAGGATCCATTCCCACACTCAGATTTTAACCATTGATTTCAAAGCACCCACACCATGCCAGGTTGGCTGGCTCACGATGACTTTAGCCATAGGGACTGCCTGAGCTGCTTCTGGATACTGACACTGGGACTAGCTAGATCAGCCCATAAAAGAAATCAGAGTATAGCTTGTTGATTGTTGACTTGAAGGAAAACTTCCAAGCCTTTTAAGTAGAGAAGTAATGTCTTTTTTTGCATCAAGATAATGTTTTATACTCTGTAGGAGATGGTCTGCATTGGGCAGAAACTGGAAGGAGATTGATCAACCAAGAGAAACCAGTAGATTATGCCAAGGTGATGAAGACATAAATTAAGGTGGCAGCGGCAATCAGGCTGATGGGGAGAGTTTAGTATTCAGAAGGTAGAATCAGCAGAACTTACTAACTAACTGGAAATGCAGGATGAGGAGGAGGAATGTTCTCTGATAATCCCAAGATTTTGAAGTGGGTAGGAGTAAGTGGCGGTTTTGCCAACTCACTATGTTCTGTCGAAGGCGAGCCTTTCTTCCCAAGGGGAGGGAAGGGGAAGGGGAAGAGGAAAAGAAGAGACTGTAATAAATTAAGTCTGAGCTAGCAGGCTATTGGACAAACACTTCTGGAGTTACAGAGAGAAGTAATAGCTGGAATGAAATATTTGGGAGTTGTGAAACACTAACATTCTATAAACCAAAAAGGAAAGAATACTCCATAAAGGAAAGATGGAAAACTTGGAGGATACCCAGAGAACTAAGAGGGATGGGTTTTATAAAAGTCTGTGGAGGAAGTTCTGAGGAAGGAGGAGCAGCCTGAGAATTCAGTGAGAAACTCCCATGAGGAGTCTTGTGGCGTCATTGTAAGCAGCTGCAATTGCAGTAAAGGGGTCAGAAGTCACTGGCTTTAATTGAGGACTTCATGGAAAGACAGACCGTGGAATCAGTGAGTGTGGATTGTCTTCTTAAAAAAAATAAGCATAGTAGAAATGGAGAGAAATGGGAAAGTTGCTAGAGGCAGGGATAAGAGAGGTTTTAGTTTTCTAGGGTTTAATAGACTTGGACTTGTTCATAGAGTGAAAAGGGGAAACGACTGGGGAAGGAAAGGGTAAAGTCAAAAGTGAAAAAGAGGAAGGTAATCAACCTAGCTCTAGAGAAGAAATGAGGAGCTGGGGGTTAAAGCACAGGTGGAAGGATTACGCTGCAACAGGTGGAATCAATACTACAGAAGCAACCGTCAAGCACCAAGGGCCTGCGGCGGGTGGATGTCTACCAACTCTTGATCTCCTGCCACCTGAGAGGAGAATTCTGATGTGGGGCTCTCAGAGGTTTCAGTAGGTTGGAACTTTAGTTGTCTATGAGTGTACCCCACTCATTAGATACTTTTTGGCTTTTCTCCCTGTTCCATCTCATTTGTTTATGCTCCCTGGAATCACCTCCCAAATAAACTACTTGCATCCGAATCTTTGTCTCAGGCTCTGCTTTCAGGGAATCCCAATTTAAA